AGAAAGGAAAGCACACGAAAACTCCCGATTACACCTCAACAGAGACCTCTCCTATTTCAGCCGCATTCCACCTTGGGATAGAGAAGGGGCGCGTTGGACGAGTTTCATGATCCTAGCTCTAGATGCTGCAGCGCCAACGACATTTGTTCGCAGTGGGACCGCTGCTTCAGATGCGCCCGCGCTTTTCAAGAACGTAGCAAGGCATCAACGCTTGTCCGCCTGAGGCTAGCGCGCCTCATCCTGGAGCGTGCCTTCGAACTGTGCATCGAGGTGCGCTAAGATTTGTCGGCATATTTTCTCCCCCTTTCTCCTTCGAAACTTGGAGCCTTACATCTCGTTGGTGGGCCCTTTACATCTTCTTTCTTTCGGTATCCTAGGATTTTATGACTTGTTTGCCATGCAACGTATCGAAGACCCGCGTTGCAACATTAAATGTTGGCACGTTGACGGGCCGCTCCAGCGAGCTGGCAGAAGCGCTAGAGCGCCGACGAATAGACTTCTGTGCCGTGCAGGAAACGAGGTGGTCCTGCTGCAAGTCGAGGGACATTGGCCGCGGCTTCAAAGCCGTTCTCTGTGGCGGTCCCAAAACCACCAATGGCGTCGGGATGATTGTCTCTGAACGCTTTCGTGATTCGATAGTAAACGTGGAGCGCTTCGACGACCGATTAATGAAAATCATTGTCGTCATCGATCAACGAAAATACCACTTCTTCTCTGCGTACGCTCCGCAGACCGGATGCTCCGAGCAAGCCAAAGACAAGTTCTGGAATCTGCTTGATGAGAAGACAGCTGAGGTTCCGTCACAAGAAGCTATAATTGTCGCAGGTGACCTCAATGGGCACGTTGGCGCTACGAAAGACGGTTACAGCTGTCACGGTGGTTTTGGATATGGGTTACGTAACACCGATGGCGAGCGAATTCTCGAGTATGCAGACTCGCACAACCTCGCCATTGTGAACACGAAATTCCGAAAACGCGACTCACATCTCATCACCTTCTATAGCGGTAAACACCGGTTTGGTCCCAACACCCCCCCCCCCCCCGATCCTCTGGTGCAAGGCCTTCCGAAAGCACTTTGCCCTTCCAGGCTCGGCATGCCATGCATACTCAAGATAGTTCAATACAGAAATTTCTTTTGAAACTTGGAGCCTTACATCTCGTTGGCGAGCCTTTTACTCTTTCTTTCGGCATCTTTAGATTCCAATATGACTTGTTATCTAGGGGTTTTTATAGGTTTGAACTGAGGGAGTCAAGACAGTACTTTGGGCAAGTTTACTTCTATGTGCTGAAACCCTGATATAGTGCTCCATAGACCTGTCGAACTAACACTGGAGGCACTATATACTGAGGAAGCAACAACTAGCGCGCAGCGCAAAGCGCAGAAGCGCGGAAAGACGCTCCGATTGAATACATGAAAGATATGAAAAGTTCGTCCTTATCATCACACAATCTCTCAGCTGACACCTACATGAATTTTGATTTCCGTATGCACTTGGTGAAGCTGTATTGTTTTATGATGGAGCGCTTATCGAACAGCAATCGAGGCCCTTTACAAAATCACATCCTCCAGGACCCTTGCGGAAATTATTCGTACGATGACGTCGAGCAAATTCTAGCGTGAATGGGACACTTCGACAATTCCCTATGAATCGTTTGCTGGAATTCCCACTTTCTGGAAGTGTGACTGCAATTTTGACTTCACCGTCCCCTAAGAAATTGCAAAGGACAACAGTTTAGAAATGTCACAGGCAAAAATAAAATGCAGTCGAAAAAACATGAGACGGAAATATGACTTTGGTTAGCAAAATCGGTAGAACGAGTTTTTTAAAGGAATTTTCCACGGACCATGGACCAGTGGGCGGGACCGGAAGTTTTTGTGACGAAATGCATGGTAGGTACGGATCCACGTGTCGAACGCACGAATGTGAACAGGATTCACTTCAAACCTTCCCATGAACGTGGATCCGTACCTACCATGCATTTCGTCGCAAACTTCACTTCCGGTCCGCCATGATTGCCATGATCCATGGTTCGTGGAAGATTCCTTTAATGAGATAAAAAGAAATGTTGCTAACCAAAATTGATTCCTTGTGTTGTTATTCAGAGCTGTGTCGATTCATTGGACACATTTCGAGCTTATCTTAAAAGCATATACATGCGAATGTGAGATTTGTGTAGGTGGAATCGTATGTAGCTTATTCGGAAGTAGGGCAGTTATAGTGAAGTAGGTGGCTTCAGTCTAGCATAATTGTTAAACGTTTTAGGTGCATTCTCTCACTTTAAGAGGACAACGAGATCAATTTCTCAATAGGATTTGGAATACCATAAGTTTAGCATGTGAAAAGTCCTTTACTCGAGACTTGAGACGAGAGTTTGTTGAAAGTTCATTCCAGTTTTGCCCTTTTACTAGCCTATGAATGCTTTTTCGAGTGTCAAAGTGCTCGTACGAAACAAAGTAAAGAACAAAAAGTGAAAAAGCAGTGGAAATATATGAACATAGATAAGCCTTTTTGGGATGAGCTACGCCTTTCACATTCACTGAGAGCTATTTGAATGCTATGTAGCCCACACGCTGAATAATGGAGAACTACCAATGATGGAAACCGGTGACTCTGCTTCGCCGAGAGAGGAAAGCTTGGTTGTTCATACATAACAGAACAACAGTACTGCCTGAAATTGCTGCTTTTCTATTACTGATTAAGGGTTTGTTTCCAACGCTGAGAATAGAAGTGGAAAACATCGAAGAAATGAAACTGTTAATAGGTAGTTAGAGAGAAAGGGGTGCGAATAATTGTGTTGCCGCCATGCTAGTTGGCTTGTTATTAGTCTGTCATGCGTGATAGATTGGTAAACGATTTACGCTGTTTTTACGAGCCGGCAATGAGACCAGTGAGTTTTCGTTGAATCCACCTAAGGGCATTTGTTTCGGTGTGGGCTACGTAAATCGAAATAAAACATAAATATGTTATGCGATTGATCGACAAGTGACGAAAGCAGAAAAGAAAACCGCTGCGAACTCTCAGAAATCGTTGAAAGTGGTGATAAGACTTGATACTGCACGATTCACGATGGGCGGCCCTTTGCTTCGATACGGTAAGGACAGGAAATGACCAACGGGAATGACGGCATGCCTGTAACTTTGCTGTTGTTCGTCCAATTACAATCGAATCCCTTGTTCGGTCGTAATCACCCACAAAGAAGCAATCCTGGTGGAGGAGCACGGTAGCCATAAAACCAATACTTTAACTACCTAACTTCACAGGGAGCGACAAATTGCGGAAACTCAAGAAATTTTTTCGGTTCTGGCGGATAACTGATGAGTTTAGCACCTGGTTGTGTACAACAGTTCACTACTCACTGAAGCACAATGCCTTCATATTTCACAAGAATACTGGGTTATGAACAAAACTTTCGTCCCAGACGGGACTCGAACTCGCACCTTTTGCTTACCGGGCAAGTGCTTACAAATAGTGAATATACCATGAGAAGATGGGATACGGAATAGCGAACTTAGCTGCGCACTTGCCTCTGTAAGCAAGAGCTGAGGGTTCAAGCCCCCGTCTGGGGCGGAAGTTCTGTTCATGAACTTTGTATTCTTGCGAAGCAATTGCAATGCGGACTGTGGCGAAAGAGCAGACGACTTACGATAGGTAAAGAGAGCTTTAGAGAGGACGTCGGTGAGCTCAGTGTTACCGGGCTGCGGAAAAATTACTAGAATTCCGCAAAAAAAACGCCAAAATGTGACTCCTTTTTTGGCGCGTCGTTCTCGACTCGTAGACATTGACAGTTCAGAAGCTCAGAAACGACTATAAACGAGTCATCGCGCTGCGTTGCGACAGGCATTCAATTCCATTCCCAGCAGTACTCCAGTTGCGCGCCGTGTTGGCGACGCAGCTCGTCCATATCGCCAAGTGAACTAGTGGGCGGACCGCTTTTGTGAGCGGAGTGCTTTCGAAGTCCTGCTCAGCAACCACTGCACCTTTCGTCGTGGAAGTGCCACCCCTTGCTCCCTTGGCATCCAAGAAACTGATTTGACGTGGCAATGCCTTCCCCGTGCGCTCCCACTTCTCGTAATTCCGCTGCAGTTGAGTCTCCACAAAAACACAAGCCAATCAAAATGCCTACAATGTTCTCCCAAAATTCCATTAACATTTCCCAGAAGCTTCGACACAGGACCTGAACTCCCTGCAAGAGCATCGATGTGACACCCTTATAAGTAGTGATTTAAATTCCGCTCTGTGAAAGCAAAAACAACACCTAAGCTAACAGACCTCCGAGCGCTCTCAAAGCTTCTGACCCTCGCACTTAACACTACATCAGTCCGCGTATCAAGATTATAAAGATGATTACCTCACCCTCGCGAGCTAGAGATCGCGACTATTGCCGAGAATTGCAAAATGCATGGATCCAAGAGACCGACATTGGTGCCCTGCCCAAATCGATATTCTAGAACTTCCTTACTCCGAAATTTCGGATGACTGCACTTAAGGCCGTTAAAGTCCGACGATGGAGGTACGCCTACAACACTTTTCCCGGCACCAGTGAAGGTCTTCCGAGTAAAAGGAGGGGGGTCCCAACAGGCCCACCGTGCGGCGAAGCAAGGGACGCAGATGCGGCAAAGAGACGAGTTGCAGCGCGTGCTCTGCGATGTAAGACGTAGTGTGGTACACCCTCTTTAACCTGACGCCTAACCACCACAGTATGCGCTGCGACTCGTACTTTGCCCGTCTGGCGTCTCTTGCTTTCGCTGCGCGCGACCTGTTGGGGGACACTCAAAAACGGGACTTCCACGAATCTGATAAGCATCACAAGAATAAGTGCGTCTCAACAGCATGGCTTCCTCTAACATTCTCTGCTGTTCACCAAATAAGGAAAGACTTCGACAAAAAAAACTTTAATGTGCTTGGCCATGAACACGCCACACAAATTTGAAGGTAACTCGGCATCTAATTTGTTAGCGTTGTACTTTCTGTTTGTTTGTTAAAGCATTCTTCAGCTGCTCAGCTATAAGCTGCCTCCTCGATATCTGAAACGAAAGACCATCCATAGAAAAGGGAATTGTGATTCACTTATAGAGATACCTGATAATTCGCTAACGAGTGGCAAAAGGCACATCCACCATTGTGACAGAGGCAGACGATGGACAAAGCATGTCTCCTTTGCAAGCTCCGGAACAGACGTGAACTTCAGATTCCGCCCAACGAGCCCTAAAATTGTGTTATGATGTGTTATTATTTATTATTATCGGTAGAGGAGGAAAATAAACAAAATTTTTAGATTTCAAAATTTTCACGATCCCATCGGAGGGTATTAATACAACCCCTGTACCAAATATCGTGTCCTTCTACATATTTTAGGCCCATCATCGGTGTATGGGCCAGTCACCGACATGGAGAGGTGGTGGACGTGGGTAAGTCCGCGCGCTTTGTCTCGCTCAGAGGAGGGAATCGAGGCAACATGAAATTTTACTCATTAAATAAAATTTCCAAATTTTTGCGTAAACCAATACATGATAGTAATGCAGAAATTTCTACTTCCAGAAACCTTCCAGTTTTTTTCGAGCTCGCATTTTTTAAGTAAATCTGGTTACAAGCGGTTCATAGTGATAGCTGATTTCTGGTAAATGATAGTTGTAATTAGTGACAATCGATAGAATACAACTGCAACAGGCTAATCATTTCATTGGCAGAAAACATTTTGTGAAGGCCGTCGTCACTTGTGGTGCATGGTCTGCACCCGACACTTTCTCGCTTTTTGAAGGGGAGGGTACACATATTTACTAGTCAGCAACCATTTTTAAAAATATTTTCCAAGTCACATACCCAAGACACAGCAGTCGTGATCACCCATTCGCTTAGGTTCTTTCAATCCTTGGAAAGCGTATATTGCCATACGAAGTCCCATTTGGCGATCGAATGCAGATGGTGCACCACCCACTTGTGCATGGCATAGAATATTCACTCGTGCAGATAACTGTAATAAACGAATCATGATCATATGCAGTCTCGCAAATGCCAGTGAGTTGTACAACATTTCTTTAAGCTCATGACCTCTGCTGGTTCGGCGTGATGCAGTGATTGTACAAATTTCTTACAAAGTCATGACCTTTGCTGGTTCGGCAGGGATAGCCGAAGTGGTCAACAGGGTAGACTCATGTCTGCACCTCTGGAAACCGCGAGTTCGATCCCTGCCGAGGTTTTATGCTGGTTCAAGGAAATCTTTCATGCAGTAGACGTCAACACTCTGGGTAAAATTCACAAGAATGCTGGGCTACGAGCAAATCTTTCGCTCCAGAAGGGACTCGAACATACCTGTTCGCACTCGGGGTGCACGGTATCTCTCTGCTATGGCAATCTAAGCATCGCGGATAGATCTGACGGGAGTGCTTAGAAGATGTGGGGGCGTGTGTGCGCACCAACTGCGCCAAGATGAACCGATGTTATAATCGCCGAAGAGAGCAAAATTTTTCCCTGCAAGGTTGTGTGGGGCAGTCCACATTGCTCCGAGATATGCTGTTTCCCTAGGCAATTTTCCCTTCACTTTCTTATCGGGGGATCCTCTTTAAAGTGATTTTAATCGAGATAATCGTAGGATGGCCGCCACCCCCTGTTCTCACGGATATTGATGTACCTCATCGGCCTCACACCAAGACGTCTGTTTGCGGATGTCTTACGCGCCTGACTGTAGACATGTGGCGCAGAATGATAGCTTGAAACCTGCAAAATATTATAGTTTTTTGAGTCCCATTAGACAGGTTTGAGCGTTAAGGAGGTACAACTGAAATTCATATGGAGTGGGGACATCGTCTGTGAAAGTTCAAGGAGGAGCTGATTTTACATGGGTTGGGGGATGTGTGGAATTTGCTGCTTCGGGAGCTGTATTTACCCCGCCGCCGCCCGAAGATTCCGGTGGAAGGAATTTTAGGACGGGGTTGGAGTGGGTCAGTGTTTCACATGATAGGAATTGAAGCAACAACGTAAAATCGGATTCGTAATGTATCAGCGGTGATAATGGTGCTAGGAAAGGGCGTGTCTGGACGTGTTTTTTGAACACCATTGCGTCAGCGTGATGCATCTATCATCTCTATATCTATCTATCGGCTATCTTATCGACTATAATCAATGTTGCCCGCTAAGACTTGCGAGGTATCTTCTCCATGAGTTCTTATTAGCCGCCATTAGATCGGTTTGTAGCACCCTGGTGCCATTGTCGCGCACTTTCGAGCAGCGATAATGGCAATCTATAATACTTGAGGCTACTATATCCCATCCACAGAGAAGATTCTCGACCTACATAAATAAAGCTCATCATCTATGTGCGGTCGGCACAACTCGTCCGTAATCACTCAACTACAGACTTCAGTAATTGATCGATCTGATAATTTGGGTCTCAAAAATCTCGCTGAGTCCCAAGGATTCAAAAAGAGCGGATAGCTTAGCTGGCCTGATGCCAAGGCAAGAGAACGGAACAGAATGTGTTGCGCGGACGAGTTGTCGGCCACAGGATGTAATTTACGGCTTGTGCGCTCCAATGCCAATGGGATCGCGCCATATGACGCACACCCCTCCTTCGGGATATGCTGCTTCTGAACAGACATGGGCCACCAATTCGATGCCGGTGGAGGAATGGCGTTTTAGGATGGGGACCCTTAAACAGAAAATTTCAATGAAAACAACCCTCTCTTCTCTCCTCTCTTAGTTAAGGTCCTACAACACAACTTATCCCCGTCTTCAGGTTTGACTCCTGTGTTCTTTAATCCTGTGTGAAATTATACCTGACTTCTCTAAGAACCCGTCTAACGTGGGATGGCGGAATATTAACAATGTCTAACGTCTCTTCTCACGTTTCTTAAAAACCACTGCCGATTTCGGCAGAAACGCCTGCTCCTTCCTGGTGGTATCTATTGAGCGTGTGCAATTACGTCTGTAAGGCTTTTTGCGGTTGAGAACAGTGCGACCGGTTTCATAAAGCGCCCAAGAAAACTACAAATACGAGTTTGAGTTGATCACCGGATAATCTTCGTGTTGTTCAAAGTAGCTTTTGAGTTCATCACATCCTATTTTATCGTCCGCACCATCGCTTCGGACAACCGTGTACTGGTTGAACCCTCGTTGTGCTTTCACTGCAGCATGCTACAAAACCGCAAATGATTTCACCTGTAGCAAAAAAAAAGACTGAAAAAATAAACCACCTGAGCCATCCTCTTCAGATCTCTTTCAGTACACTCTTTCTGGAACACCAATGCCTTGTCGGCACCCGTCGCCATAGCTGTCATCACAGGCAGAAACCCGCATCGCTCACCCATCGTTTCTATGATCACTGCTCTGAAGAAACGAGTATTTATGAGTTTGACCACAAAATGAATGTGTGGTGTTCAGTTGTTTTCTCGAGAGTATAAACGCAGAGAAAAATAAAGGCAGGCCTTCAGACCTTTTCCTGGTTGCTTGTGCACAGAGCTGTATATTGTCCACCTGTCGACAAATCTCGTTGAGCGCAGTGTCTGTGCCAAGAGAGTTGCAGGTCTGAAAGCGTAAACGGTTTGAAATAAGTGAGATACGTTTAAAGTGTTATGTTCTATGTCTGTTTGCTTGTTGTTGGTTACAGTACTCGTTTTCGATCGTTTTCATACCGTATTCTTCTCTCCAACCGCCACTAGCCCTCATACCGTCGATACCGATTAGCCTTTGGGCCCGCGCTCACATAATGACGTCACGCGCCTGGATATAGAGAAGCAGCAATCACATCGCAGTGTTCCGCCAGACTCTGGTACCGCTCCTCGAGACCGGCTAGTAAAACTCTCCGCCGCCGTCTGATACGTGTCATTTGGAGTCGGTAGTAGTGTGTGTGCTGGCTGTAATAAGCGATCGGTTGGGTCGAGTTCTTCTCCCAGAGTGCGACTAAACCAAGAGGAAGCAGCCAGCCCGCCGTTACCCGCCGTGCATTATTTTGTTTTGTTTCAAAAATTAGCAATATAACGATAGTTGTGATAACACTATATAATAACACACAATATAGTTGTGATAACACTCTTAGGGCTATATAAACACCTGCTTAGCACACTTCCGTTCATTCCACATGGTGCTGCAGTGGCAGCTGGAGGGCAGTGGAGAGAGGAAGGGAGGATGAGGAAGGGAAGCTGTCATGACCGTTTCGTCATGATGCGACGAAGAAATCAAGGGGTGAATCCTTGACACGTCATCTATTGATTTAACACATTGACGACATTGAGACGCGGTAACGCGTCTCACTTTGCGCACCTCGTTGGACATTGAGACGCGTTACCGCGTCTCACCCTTATCATCCCTTTTTCTAGGGCATGCGCAGCTTTTTCCCGAATTGTTTGTCTCTCTTCTATGGATTAGAACATAACATTATTGTGAACGACATAGGTCATTGTTTGTTCAAATATGCTCCAGTTTAGAAGAAGTTTTCCAAGCTCACCGAAACCGGCGGCTTGGTTCATTAATAGTTTTCATGCTATTCTCATGAACACGTCAATAAAAAAGGGTAGTGAAAGTAAATGCAAATCTAAAGAGACAGAAAAATACATGCTTCACTTGGTATAACCACATCAAAAGAGCTTTTGGCATCCACTACAGATAAAATGACTAAAATTTCCTTTTTCATTACCATTACATGTTCTTTAATCGGAACTTCGTCACTATATACTCTATTACCTTCTACGCATTGACTGTTACTGAGATGTTTTTGTACCACTGGTGCTTTAAAAAGTTATCAATAAAAATTCACGGATCCGAGGTGCGGCGGTCGCACTCGCAAAATCGGCCCGGTCCCACACGGCCAAAAAAGCCAAAACGCGCGCGGTCGTCAATGTGTTAAATATCAAAACCTGGGCATTCAATTGCGCTGCGCCGACTACTAGCTCCATTCCACGTCAGACGCGCCCCCTGGGGGTGTAGAATACACCCATTTTTGGAGGTGTAATAAACACCGCACTCCGGAAGAACTCGCGCAGTCTTCGCGGTCTTTCGCGCGGTCTCCTCAACTTCTCCAGTCGTTCTCCAGCGGTCTCCAATCACAAGCGACTCCGGTCGCACAATAACCTAAGGCGGCAACGCCAGCAACAAACCAAATAATCAATAAGCACAAGGCAATCAATAAGGTACAGCCAGTGGATCATCCACCGGCCAAGGCCACCAATCAATATCACTAACCAAGGACCACCAACTCACACCTCCAGCCACTATCGACCAACACCTAAGGCACAAATCAATATTGAAGAACCCAATACGAATTCAGAGTAAGGGCTAACCAAACATAACGCTAACTAATGTAGGAAATAAATTGTATAAGTTGTAATATGTGTCAACAATTGCTTTCAGGAATTGTGGTATAAGAGATGTTAATAAATGTTAGTATTTACAAGTGTTGTTTCAATAAAATAATTTAATAGAAGTCGCATCATAGGGCAATCTACCACTCTACCTTCGAAACAGAAGCGGAAAATCTACCGTCATATCATGATTGTGTCCCTTCTACTATATGAAACACCATTGTGTTGCATACGCGTCACTTCCAGGAGGTGTTGGTGTCACAGGAGGAAGGGACCATAGCGGAGGATAGAAAGCTTGCGCAGGAAAGGAAGGTCCCGGCGGTTGACGGGGGACTAATCTGGTATGGGAGAAAGCGGAGGGAGCGGGATTAAGAGCACTCTCATACATGGGAATCCGACAGGCGTGGCGAGAAGGCAGAGACGCAGACAAGTCAGCGGACGAATCACATTACGTACTGTAGTGATTTCGCGTCAATTCATAGAATCTTCTACACTACGTCCCACATCACGCAGCATGCGCTGCGACCCATCTGCGCTTCTGCTTTCTCGCCGCACGACTGGCCTCCTGTCGGAAACGCCACTTTTATTCATAAGCCACTGACTGCCTGATGGTGAGCTATGACTCCCGTTGCCGACCATAACTATTTTTTTCACACCGATTTGAATGGCACTCACCCTCGTGCATCGCCAACCAGCCAACTCAGGCGTTTAATCTTTGTCTGCTGCATTATCAGCGGATGAGACATGATTTGTTTTTGTTTTCCATCTCGTTCGAAATGGAATGATATGGCGACCTCTTCCGATCATGAGTGGGTTGAGGAAATTAATAACCCATAACACTTAAGACCTCCATCCTTTATATCCGACCCTACTGCCTTCCCGAGCATTAACCCCCTTTTGACTGGGAACGCGGATCTCTATTTGGCTCCGGCTATTTGGAGCCGAATACCACCTCCTCTCTTCAACTACATATAACTCTCAGACACCCCTTTCAGGAGGGTCTTCTCCTTCAGACGCGCACGGACTTACCCCTGACAGCTTCTCTGAACTTCTGATGGTTGTCTCGCTTTTGCTCTTTTGTAGAGCGTTTTTGCATGGCTCACATGTCTAACGTGTGCGACACATCTTTCCCCCGCTACCCCACTTTTGAGTCCACCACTCTTTTCCAACATGGTATCGAACTAGGCCACACTTTCTTTTACCTTTTTCTTTAGAAAAATAAATGTAGACTTTTTCAGGAAGTTTTCAACTCACCCCGGGTACGTTGTTTTCAACAGAGCACGGCACGACAACAATTGGAATGTTGAATGCTTTGTAACTGTAGCGGGCTTCATTCAAAACCAAAGCGGACTGGAAAGCCTAAATGAAAAACTTCATTGCATGCCAATACTTTGACATATACACTTCTAAATTGGAGAACCAATGAGTGAAGCAAATGTAGACATTCTTAATATACCTCGAATCCTCCAACAATCAGCAATCCTTCTATGTTCTGCTCTCCCAGAATGAGCGCAATTTTAATCAAATTTGTGGGTAACTGTTTTTTCGAGCCGAGCTCTGAACCTCCACGACACATCCATCCGGTGACGTTACCCCAGTTAAGTTCCTAAAGTTGCAGCAAAGATAATAGCGAATGTTTGTGACCTAGTAAGAGTTAATTTGCCCGTTCAACACGGTTTCGTTTCCAACATTTTTCCACAATTGATTCATCTTTCTTCACCCCTTTTCTTTATCCCCTAACTTATTCTTTTTCACCTTCTTCGTTTTCTTTTTATAGTGTTGTTAACACGATGGCGACACTTGTCCTGTCGCGTGGGATCACAGCATCTGCCGGGCTGGACAATATCCTAATGTTTTTGTGGCGGTGCCCCTGGAATAAGGTGAAAAGAGAAGCAAGGGCGGCGAGCACCGAGGAAACAGAGGCAGTGGGTATTAGTGTCACACCCCACTCAGCTATAGCACTAACAGAAACGATTTCTCCTCAAGTTGAGTTAGTCCCACCGTAATCCACGTTGGTACTGTAGCGCGCCGTTGAGAATTGGGGCGCGCAATTGAACCGGAGCAAAGGGATCCTTGATGGGGACTCAACCAAGAGTAATTCACTATTAGATAGGCGTCTACCCTAAGAGAGCTTTCCAAATTCGTGCAACGTCCACCTTGCACTTGAGCGTGCGCTTGGCGCGCCTCGCAGATTGGGAAGGCACCATTGCGGTTGCTCCACGTTGCGGGTGAGTTGTTCCCTTGCCGTACTCCATCTTCTAGAGCGATTTTGCTCAGGACACTTTGCGCATTTTCTCCTTCTGGAGTGCAGAGAAGATCACAAGAGTACACGTCAGAACCAATTCGATAGCATGTGACAGTGTGCACTCCAGCGTCAAATATGAACTACGGTGAAACCAATTCAACGTGCAAAAGAATCTTTTTAGTAGCACTAGACACTCCGACGGATGTTGCCTGCAGTGACGGATGTTGCCTGCAGTGCTTGGCCCTCTTCGCGATCCACGAAGCTGATTACTACCAAGGATGTGTTGATCTTGCTACGTAACAGAAAACTGTCTATCGAAACCTTTCACGACTGATAACCAAATAAAAAAGATATGCATGACTCCAGGACTCTACAAGTGCATGATAAGAGGAGAGAATTTCAAGAAAGGGAATAGCGGCCGGAAGGGAGGAATGGCATGGGAGTGGGTATGCGAACCGATCCATCGGCTGACGATTGCAAGATCCGAATCTCCAGGGCGCGTAGTCGCACAAGTCCGGAACGCTGATTGCAACTTCAGTATACAACGACACTTGCTCATAAACGAATATAGGATTTATCACACGTCGTGCGTGGTGGTCGGAGGCTACTGATGCTGTTTACTACTTTTAACGAAACAAAAAAAAAATGATGTTGAAAATAGATCGAAACCGACCTGATCAAGGTATGTAATGGAGGAATTGGCAAACGCAGACTGGTGGTGTGAGCGAGAGACAGGACATATGAGCCGACATAGGTAGAACGGGGAGGCCGCGGGCCTGATGGAAAGCCGCCAGTGTAAATTGCCCGTCTATTACCGCTTGCATGGATTTCATCGCAGGGAAGCGAATGAGAGCTATTACTGATAGTTCTTCTTGTGTCGCAGCGATGTTTACTAACTAAAGGCGGAACCGGTAAGGGTTCCACTTTTTTGGTCAGGTTATAGCTGCACTACTGGTAGAGCTTTTCGGAATAAACATCTACCCTCATTATTCGAGACGCCAGCGTGTGGGGGTTCAAACTCCGCGAAAAACGGCCAATCGACAGAAAACCCAGCAGAAACGCGAAGATTTTTATCGAGCCCATTCCAATGTGCTTACAGGTCGGACTGTTAATCAGAGATTTTTTGTATTTTAAAAACCCGAAAAAGATTCCATTCTGTAGCGGAGTAATTCACATTTTTTTGACCGTGCAATGTTTCTTCAATTAGACGTTGAGCTTTACCTTGAATCGACCTTCAGCGAGACCCTCCCAGCTTTGCTCAACTCCAAGCACATTGTACTTCGAGTGATTCGCTATTCGTACAAAGGCATGCGTAACACAATTCATTCCTGAAGATACTGATTCGTCACCTAGATGATGCATCTACGCAACTGCTCTGGAGCATCACAACACAGGTTGAAAGTCGTAACGATATGGGAAGCAGTATGCGCCCACCGGCAGCTGGAGCTCCCACGTGAATAACAGCGAAATTCCTGGCTACTCCGAAAAAGAAGTTCGGTGGCTCGGCAATCAACTGAAAAGAGGTGAAGGAAATGAGGAGGAGCAAATTGTATTCAATCCTCATGAAATAGTTATACCGGAAAAGGAGAGCATTTTCAAAAGGGAAGGTTATTCTAAAGACCTCGAAATTGGTTTAAGAAAATGTGCTGGTTATCGCACTTCCCCCTGTGCTGGTGTCCTAAGCTTACGTTCACCTCAAGCAGGCCGATGTCATAGTTTGCGAATCGAGCGATTCGCTAGCGAATCGCTGGATCCGAGCGTTGCGCCAGCGAATCGAACGTTGCACCAGCGAATCGAACTTTGCGCCAGCGAGTCGAACGATGTACCAGCGAGTCGAACTAGGTACCAGCGACTCAATAGTGGCGGGACCCAACGTTTAAAGGAAGCCCGCCACTTTCAAACAGTGTCACGTGACAGTGGACGCTGTTTGAAAGTGGCGGGACTGTTGCCTGGACACTGTTTGAAAGTGGCGGGCTTCCTTTAAAGTTGGGTCCCGCCACTATTGAGTCGCTGGTACCTAGTTCGACTCGCTGGTACATCGTTCGACTCGCTGGCGCAAAGTTCGATTCGCTGGTGCAACGTTCGATTCGCTGGCGCAACGCTCGGATCCAGCGATTCGCTAGCGAATCGCTCGATTCGCAAACTATGACATCGGCCTATAATATGAAGAGCTTCATAAAACACTGGAAAGCAATATTTCGACACAGCGAAAAGCATGTTGAGTAGTACAAGTACTGAACCTTTCAAGAGAAGTAAGGAAAGCAGAGATGCTGCAATAGTCTGCACATGTGAGAGCTCCCAGACATCCCCACAGACGCTGAATTAGCTAACCTCACAGAGTAAAAGAATTCCTGAGACCCATATTGTGCGACAGTGGGGTTCTTTATGGGAATCTCTGGGGGAAGCGATCAGGGTAGCGATAGATCTTCACACAGTGCTGTTAGGGGACCTACCAAGAGACGATAGGGACGCTTCTCGGTAATGAGCGTATTATCGAGGTGGTAGAGGAACAATGGGGAGGGGAAGTGCCATTCATGGAGGGGAGAGGCGTCATGTTGGTGGGAACTTCCTCCACACGTGGTTCTCCCTGGTGGGTTCAAAGAAGACTACACTGAATAGCGCTTAGCCAATCTTGCCTGGACAAAGTCGGTTTTTTGCTTGAAATTTCTGCCACGTATATCAACGGCTTCGCTCTGAGCGCCTTTTCGTGTTTGCTCCCGAGCCTGAATTGTAGCAGTCAACATGGTGCTTTGTGAAATTTAGGGTGATGAAAAGGCTGTAAAGTTTTTTTGGCTCTTTCTGATATAGAATTAATCCAACTCACTTTTTGCGTTTTACCGATTAGCTTTGAGAGAGGTAATTTTACAATAATATGGCCTTAAAGCACACGATTAAGCATTAACAAAAACATGGCCAATTACACTTCAAAAATACCTTTCAGGCACAACATTTTTGGTGAAGAAGGATCAGAACTTAATACGGTGTTCACAGCTTCGTGTCCCATTCGACAACCAAGAAGTCTATCGAGAAAGCTTGGAGAACCTCCTCTTTGAAGGTAACCCAATGAAGCGACTCTCACGTCGTACTGAAGGCATTGTATCGGAACCATTCACAGCGATAAGCGATAAATTGTAAAAATGTTATGGAAATCGCTAGCAAACCTTCAATTTGTCTTCTATAACCTTTTTGATCTGCTCTGTTTTGATTAGATTCCCTTTCGCATCGACAGACCCTTCGGCGACAACAACGAGATTTAGACGGCTACCGGCCTAAATGACAAATTAACAACTAATTAGTATTTTTTCAAGGTCAGAGGACCTGCAAGGTAAGAAAAGCCGGTATGCGCGGCACATTTCGTGATTAAAGACACAACCAGGCAAGAGCCGTGTGAACGATTTCCTTCCGTGTGTAATATAGGCTTCTGGAGACAATTCACAAATGCGGCAACCCAGTGAATGAATCAGCTTGCAAGGGCGTAGGAGTCTGTAGCTGCAACAGCTGCAATGTTGTCCCTGTCACAGAAGGCTGTCTGACGCCCTCTCATTTGTTGCGCTCTCTCGCCTCATACTCTTCTCATCGCGCTTAGCCTCTCATTGCCTTAGCACAACGCATTATGAAGACGAGCAAGCCGCAACCCTATGTGTTTTCGACGGAGCCTTCTCTTTTTCTTCGATTGCCAACCCATTTTTCGACCATAATGTCTAGTTTGTGCGACAAACTACAGCCACTTGCTGGCGGGGAGTCCTGAGTAATGTGAATCAGAGTACCAGTGAGTAATGACTTGAGTACAGTTATCCATAAGTCTAGCATAAGTGCAGCTCTCGCAGCCTCAGAGCGCTACAAAGGAGCTGAGAGTTTGTTTCTCGCGTAGAGGGCTTTATCGGTGTGACGCGCCTGCAAGGGTGTATGTTAGCGGGGAACTCGAACGTCATCTCTGTCCATGTGTTACACTCTCAACTGATTCTGCCTCGCTCGGGCGTACGGTTTGAATGTGTGTAAGCACAGTTCGCCTTAAAAGATAAAAAGGAAAGCATTTGCCGTTGATCAATCCCTTTTTGGAGATGCGGCACGCATTCTACTTCCATTTGTACATTCGTAGTGGCGTTTGAATGTGGCCTATACAATGACTTGCGGGGGCCAGCCGATGTACAAGTCAGTGTTTTTATCCTCCCAGACAAGTCTGGTACCAATTAACCGACCCCGGAGGGATGGAAGGCTTGGTTGGCCCGGGCGACTCACGACCCAGGATTTGATCCCGGACCGCTCGCGTGGTAAGCGCGCCACTTGTCACTACACCACTTCCGCCCTTCGCCTTATAAATGAAGAAATCCCTCGGTTTAAGCGTTCCTTCTATTCCTTCCAGATCGGTCACTTCTTAACATTAACCTTCTACGCAAAATATCGTCACCATGAAATCGTGCGAAGTGCCCACAAAACCTATCCCACGTGAAAATGCTGCTTAGCACTGTGGATATCATTTTATGACATTTTCACTTATTTCGTTATTCAATCCTACCTTTCGTTTTCTGTGGAGGTGACCACACAATACTTCAGGCCAATCGTCAGGAGGAGGAATTTCCGGAATGAAAACGAAGTCTGCTTCCAACGCTATGCCGGCTGTAAGCGCCAAATTCCCACATTCGTGGCTCATCACCTGATAACGAAGGTAATTAAATGCCTAGCAATAAAACCAAGGACCAGTCAAAGCGAGGGTTTACGATAAAGTTGTGGGCAGCATGGAATAACATGTGGACCAAAGAAAGCGAGATGTGACTTTCCGCGGTCAAAGGTGTGCCAGACGCAGCGCACTAGGGTCCTAAACCTTTTCCATGCCCCGCCTGCGACTGTGTACCACCCCCAGCGTGTTGCCGCTAACAACATCGTTCCTTCTTCATTTTGAAAGGGGATTCCACTTTGAGTGGTCGTATCTTCGAACATTTCTGTTGAAAATCAAAGCATGGTGTTTGTATACAAGATGGTGATCGTTGTACTGACAAGTGTAAACGCCCCCTCACATTAGTTGGTTGGTGGCTCGCCCACTGGTCGATGAACAAGGGGATCCCACTTTTCACGTTTATAGTGGCGGGTTTTTTACGCTTTTGTGGACCTAAGCCCATTATATAGCACCCCTCATCCACAATATCCTACCGGGTATTGTTGTAAATCCTCGCTTCAACCATGGTGCACCCACTTCAACTATAAATGTCCTGTGATGGCTCATAGCTGTAGCCGTGAGATTGTCCACGCATTCGATGACGCGAGCCATTGCGGAATCAAAACCGATTGTTCGATCGGTACCGATGAAATCGTTGTCGATTGTTCTATAAAACATTGTTCACCAAAAAAGCAAAGCCGCGCGAAACTATTCAAAATAAAATAAGAAGGTCGATCTCGGACATTTTGGCGTGTGCCCTCGACTTTCAAATAGGTTTGTAAAAGAATGTGTCTTTAGTCCATTTGAGCAGGTGTTTCCAGAGGCAGAGAGATTGTTTATTCCCGTAAGCAATACGAAAAACCTGAAGGACTACTACGTGTTTAAATTCCCGCCGTA